TCAGTCCATTTATGTAACCGGGTCTGTTGGGCCCATATTAGAGGCCCAGACCCGGATTTCCCTATTATACTCCTCTTGGAGCCTCTTGTAACCCTAAGTCATTAGAACACAATTCATTCATACATCTTCTTCCCTCTCTTGAGCTCAATCTCTCCGTTTTATATATGTTTGGATACCCTATAATCCATCAATGATGCTTTCATTGAGAGGTTTGAGCAAAATCAAGTTAGATTCCTCTCAAAAGTTTAAAAAATACATACGAATCCCAGAAAATATAGCCAAAAGTGTTCTGGAAAATAGAAAAAAACGAAGAAATCAAAATTATTCTAGAAATTCATGGAAAATCAAAGAAGAAAAAGCTGGAATTTCAGATCTGGAAGAATCTTGACCCGAGCCGGAACTGTAGCCGCCGACGTGAGCTATTTGCTGGAGTCGCCGCTGTTGCTCTGGACCTCCCTGCCGCTGCTCCAGATCTTCCGGCCGTCGATGGGTGCTGTTGGATGAGGCTGGTCTGTCTCTGCTCTGGGTCTCACCTCCGTTTCCAGACTTCGCCACCAGCGCTCCAAATCTGTTTGTCGCTGCTCCGGCTCTCACTGTCATCACTACGGATCTAACCTCCTCTGCTACAGACTTCGCTGCCTAGAAACGCCGGTAGCTGGGTCGGCCACCGACTTCGCAGGGTGGCCCTTCGCGGCTTATTCCTCCTGTTGCAGCATCACCAGACGCCTTCTGGACTGGATCCGCCGCCTCACCAGCCTGCAGGTCGGTTTCAGCCTCCGTTGCAGTGCTCTAAGCCCCAGCTTGCCACAATCCTAGTGAGCTCCTGCAAAGAGCCAAAGGTCCTCCACACGATCCTGCTAGTCCAAGGTACCCCTACTTTCCTTTCTCTTTGACGACGTTGGCTGGGGCCCTGACGATGGTTTATCTCCCTGCGACCTCTGAGATGAAATCTCAGTGAAGATGGGTGGCCTTGTTAACTTCTACCGAGCACAGTTACGGCTTACTCAACATTTGTGGACCAGCAGGTCACATTTAATCCAGAACCTGTTTTCAATAAAGATGGTGGGACTTGTTCTTGCAACACGTCAGATTTAGCACACTCAAAAGCTAAGTAGTCCTAAATTCCTTCCATACAATTGATATGAGAACATATTGATAAATTGATTACAAAAAATCATAAATGAAATATTTTAATAATATAGCATCAAACTTCAATCTTGAGGGACGAGTCATCCGTGAAAAGACCCGTAAATAGCGTCTAGCGGATCCCAACTATGAACTTGAGTGACAAGTTGAGCTAGATTATTGATTTATTATCATTATTTTTTAAATAGTATGTATTTTTTGACATCGAAAAAATGGAATTATGAATTCCGAGCACTCGCGTACACCGGAAGAGAGTTAAATCTTGCACCACCGGGTCACGTAAAACGAGTGTAGATAGTAAACTCCCAATCCAAATGTTATCTAATACATACTTTAGTTTCTATGTTTTGTACGAGTTATGTGTGCCCTCTAGCTATCAGAAATGAACTGCAATCCCTTGGCGGTAGGTTCAATCTTTTATGCGTGCCACGCTCAACTAATTCAAGCATAGAAATCTAGCTTGAGCCCCAGCTTGAAAATTTGAGGCAACTTAATTTAGGCCCAAATCCAATAGCAAATTATAAGCTCAAGAAATTCTAACAATTTTATTTGAATGCATAGATGCAACTAAATGATGACATCATACCGGCCCCTTAGCCGTCTCTCTTGGTCATCTTTATTTGATGGCTTGGACTTCATATAGGCCTCTCGGCCACATATCTCGGTCATCTTTATTTGATGACCAGGACATCATATTATGGACGGTCGCTTGACTTATCTCTTAGTCATCTTTATTTGATGACTAGGATTACCTATCATGTTGAGTTACGCACATACGAGGATCGATCTTGGCCATCCCCTTAACAGATGCCGACGGTTGCAGTTCCACGCCCAGACCGAAGGGTTCACCTCTTTTGCTTCATTTTGGGGGCATCTGATGTACTCTTTTTCCCTCATTAGGATTTTTTCCCACAGGGTTTTTTCCTAGTGAGGTTTTTAACGAGGCATCTCCCCAACGTGGACAAAAGGTGTCGACCCTCGGTCCATATTGAAGACATCACAAGACCTGCACTACTCTACTCCCCTTCACCTCACTACATTCACATCAAGGAGTGGGGGACTCAAAGAGCGGGGGACTTAGCGCCTCCGTTAACCAAAGAAGTAGAAATTCAAAAAATTTCACGAAGTTTACTCACCAGATGATAGATCAGCACACAGTTCTACTCCCTTTCGCCTCGAGTACTCTCGACTCAGGGAGTGGGGGACTCCTGATAGAGTATATAGACTCGGACCCCCAGGTCTCACGACTATTGGGCTTGGACAGCGGCACACGCACGCTTATCGGATGTCATTTGTATTATTGTACTGTTCATATGTCATTTGTATGTACTAGATTAGCCTTTTATATTATCAGTCCATTTATGTAACCGGGTCTGTTGGACTCATATTAGAGGCCCAGACCCGGATTTCCCTATTATACTCCTCTTGGAGCCTCTTGTAACCCTAAGTCATTAGAACACAATTCATTCATACATCTTCTTCCCTCTCTTGAGCTCAATCTCTCCGTTTTATATATGTTTGGATACCCTATAATCCATCACAGACTATTGATATGGTTTAATATTAAACATTCTACTATTGAAAATATTAAAGATATATTGTAATATTATATGGTAATATTAATATGCTTATGTGGATCTAACCAAAGCTATTACCGTGTATGTTTATTTTAGTATTACCATTATTCGGTTCTTTCAATATAAACTTATTATAATCGACTGCATTATTCCCACAAGTCAATTGTCATCTTCTATAATTCATGTCCCCTTGAGATATGGCTTCTTCTACTAAATTCCATTTCTACTCTTTCACTTTAAAAGACAATTGAAATTAAAATACTAGGTATTATTAAGGCAATGTTAGTTCATGAGATGTTTATTCCTGAGATGGATTCATCTAGACCAAATAATAATGCTCATTACATATGAGTTCTAGTCAATCACTCTCCATTTTTCATTCTTTAAATTGGAGGATTGGTACCAATTGGAAATTAGTTTTAAATTCAACGATTCAATAATGTTTCTTAGCTAAACAAAAGGTAAACAGAGTGATTTTCAATTAGAATATGAAGTATCTTATTCCATACAACTAATGTTGTCCTTTCCTAAAAACATTTCCAAGTTTACAATGTGCATAAATGCATATGCTCTGTATATGACATGAGATAGATAGACATAAAAGAATAAATCGATGATATTTCTATCTCATTATATTCTTTCTATGATTTAAGGTGTTTTTGATCAATTTTTCTCAATAATATCAACCCCAATATCTACGTTTCAATAATCTACTTGATATTGTGAAGAAACAATTTACAAAAAACAAGTAAAACTTTCAAATAAGAAGAAAGATATGATACTTATTGATTTTTACGTGTCTATATTTCTCATGTTATGTATGCACCATTCACATTTTTTGGATTATATATGCTTTATTACTCTATATATCTGGAATCAATAATTCATATTTAAGTAATAAAATAAAAAAATCCTAAATCAAATTTTAAATCATTTTAATTCAATTTTTCCATTAATTTTCATACATTATATCCGTACGTGCCACGGGTAGGATACTAGTAAGAAAATAAAGAAAGGTAAAGAAGCGCACGCTATAATGAGTTTCCGTAAGTCCGGATACTCCTTTCGTCCCGAAATTAAGTTCATACTTGGATTTCACACATAGTAAGGAAATATATTAGTATTGAGTAAATTTTACTGTTCCGACACTGTTTCAACATTGTTTGACATTGTTTTGCACTTTTAATGTAGATCATTTGCCAAATAAAGAAGTGGGAAGTTAACTTCAGGACTGCTCAAAAAGGAAAGTGAGAAGTTAATTTTGGGAGGAATGAAGTATATCTTACAAGTATAACCACAAGAATAAGAAAAGACAAACCTTGTGAATCCAGGCTCCATAGGAACATCCTAACACTGCTTTGTCACTCTCCTGGTTCCATTTTTCTTGAGGCTCCATTTTTCTAGTCATTTTTTATGTACATATTATTTGTACATAAATTGTACACCGCTTGAGTACACAGACAATTGAGAGATAAATGATGTCTTTTTCTGAACGAGTTGTCTGTGTACACACGCAATTAGGAGGCGTGTACAAAAAGTGTACACATTTTATTTACACCTATAATTTTTCATTTGATTTTACAATCATTTTTTTTTCCCAAAAAAAAATTGTTACACTTTTTAATTTGGGATGTATTTAAAAATTTGATACATTTTTTCTTTTTGTTAAGTGTTTCCTTTAAAAGTATTTAATCACTCTTACTTTTTATACTTTTTATCTTCTATTTCTTACTTTTTCGTCTTCTCTCCTACTTTTTCTACAATATTCATTACTCCTATTATTTCCCCTTTAAATATTGTGTCAAGATCTAATATAGTGATCACTCACATCTCATTTATTATGAGAATTGAGCACTATATTTTGATCGTACTTGGTTTTTGACATTTGAATATTTTATTTTTACTAAAAACTGTTACATTTCACATGTTTCTATTTTTTTTTTTTTTAACTCTTACTTTTTCAAAAACATTAGGAAAATCTACTCGTATCATTCTACTCCCTCCATTTCCAAAAGAAAAGCATAGTTTGACTTCACAATTATTAAGGAAATAAATTTACTTTACTGTAGAAAATACTGTTTGTACACTGTTTGACACTGTTTGGACAATGTTTGACACTGTTTTGCACTGTTTGTCACTGTTTGGATGTAAATTTCTTTGCCAAATAAGAAAATAAGGGAAGTGTAACTTTGGTTTTGAAACATCTCAAAAAGGAAAATGTGAGTTTCTTTTAGAAACGGAGGGAGTATATTTTATGATTATAATAATGGGATGGATATTGGATATTATGGAATATTAAGAAATGTAAGAAATGAGTTTAGCGTCTCAGGCTCTCAGCATCAATGAGCTGATGGGATAAGCACATTCGTATACTGTAAAAGGGAATATGCCTGCCTGGTCGCTTACTGCTTCTGCAATAAAAGTCTTGGCGGTTAATAATTTCCTGAAATTATCGTTTCTTCCGATTCTGTACGGAACTCGCTCCCTTTTCCCTTCTCGTGCCGGAAGGAACTTGAGAAACCATTTCCGTATTCCTCTCCGGGTTCGATCATTTGGGTAATTCTCAAATTTCTTCATTACTGTTAAAATTGACATCTTCTTTCTTCTTCTTCTTTCAACATGATAGTTGTATTTGGAGAGACAGAGGAGCTGGGTTTTTGAATTCCACAGGTGTAAAGTAGTGAAAATCCATAAGATTGAATATAAACAATTTAATGATATATTAAGATTGTTTATGGGCGGTGAAGATGTATGCTGTAGGAAGACTAGGAAGCTACATCTCCAAAGGCGTTTATAGTGTTTCCACCCCGTTCCACCCATTTGGGGGCGCTGTAGATATTATTGTGGTGGAGCAGCCAGATGGTACCTTCAAGTCTTCTCCATGGTATGTTCGATTTGGAAAGTTTCAGGGTGTTATGCAGAGGAAGGAGAAAGTGGTCAATTTAGTTGTCAATGGCGTGGAAATTGATTTCCATATGTATTTAGGGAGTGATGGCCAAGCCTGCTTTCTAAGTGAGGTGGATGTAGACGAAGGGGATAGTCTGTCCTCTCCTCCGCCGTCTTCGGGTGAGGATACTGGTAGCCATTCCAAGTGTAGGAAGCCGATGAAGTCAAAAAGTTGCGATTTCAAAGGTGCAAATACACGGAGTTCAGGGATTTTAGGGTACATGTTTGGCAAGAAATCATTCAAAGAAAGGGATGTTCAGCTCGTCAGGTTGAACTCTTTGGAGCGTGCCCAAATTGCAGCTAATCTTTTGGAGGTGAACTGGTCTACCAATCTAAAAATTCCTTCTCATGATCTACCAAATGAGAGTAATGCCAATCATAACTCATCATTTGATGACAAAGTGAACAATAAGACAAATTTTCCGGATCCCTCTGTTGTCCCTGTTGAGGAAAGTGGCTCGATTGATCATACAAATATTTACTTATTTCAAGAAGATAACATGACTGAAATGAATTCTGTGATTAATTCAAACTATTCTGGAATCACCATAGGCAAAGAGATTTCCAAAACCGCTATGACTATTTCAAACAGAATTGTGGACGGACAAGCGGTTCCACTGAATGAAAAATATTCTCAACGTGTCTATCTCCTTCCATTAGATAGCTCTTCTGAGCGAGTAGAACAACAGAGTAGTACAGTGTCATCAGAAAGCCTGGAGGTGGAGCATCTCATATTTGGTGACCTTGATGATTTAAGTCCTAAAAACATAAAAACCAATATACTTGGTGACTCTTCTGTTGAAAATAGAGTCAAGCTGTTATCTGTTAAAAGCGACATTAGTGTTCCTTTCTCATCTAAAGCTCAAGTTGATGATGTTTTAAGGATGGCCAAGTCATTGCCTGCTAAGTGGGCCCATGACAATAATTTTTGTAGTAGACCAAATCATCCGAGGTCATCTGAGGTATCACAGGAGAGTGAAAATGGGATGGTCATAGAGGAAGTGGATATTAGGCCTTTTCAGCCAGAAACCGGTAAAAGTGGTACTGTTCATTTGTTGATTTTTAATTTTTATGCAGTTTTCAACGCGATTTTCACTATGGGTCATTCGGAAACAGTCTCTCGGTGCTTTAGTACAGGGGTAAGACTGCGTACATCCGACCCCCTTACCCCACCGTAGGTGGGAGCCTTTGCGGCACTGGGGTAATGATGATGAATGATGATGATAGTAAAATGTCATTGTTATTGTAAAGCTTATGACTATGTCTTCATTTCACAATAAAATAGTGATTTCTTCCAAAAGATATTAAATATCAAAACTTACAGTTATTAACATCTTGACACTCTTAGGGTATGTTTGGAACCTGGGAAATTCTATGGGAGCAAAAAATGCTAAAAAAAAGTTACTTTGTGGGTGTTTGGTGTTACCTCAGGAATGAGGACATTGAAACATGATCTATGTTCTTAGATTTGTTTAAACTCCATATGATATAAATAAAGAAAATGAATTTCAAGTTTTCTACATATACTAAAAATATTTTTCATGATTTGGAACCTATAATTTTATTTACCCCACAATTTTCTTTCCTTCCAAATTTCCCCTATATTTATTTTCCCTATCATTTTATGTTTCCATTGGACCCTTAAACTTTTGCAGAGAAGTCCCCAACAACTCCTGCCAATGGTGGACGACGTAGAACATGGTCTTTCCCTTTCAAGAGATCAAGTAGCACACTTATGATACAACATTCATTGGATGACGATATATTTACCAAATCTGAAAACCTTCCAAGAGATGCCAGTCATGACTGCATGGAAGAAGATTTACCCAAAGTGAAGATTACTAAGAAAAAAATAAGGGCACTCACACCAACATCTGAACAGCTATCATCTTTGAATTTAAAAGAGGGGAGGAATATTGTGATATTCACATTCTCAACTCCTATGCTTGGGAAACAGCAGGTCCCTTTTCAGCCATTATTTACTTTTCATGACAATGATTGATGACTTTCTGCATTTTTACAACACAACCATGTTTCTGTATGTAATGTTTATGCTTCGTGAGACTTCTGACTTTTGAAAGCATACTTTGCAGGTTGAAGCGCAAATCTATTTGTGGAAATGGGACACACGTATTGTGATATCTGATGTTGATGGCACAATTACCAGGTACTTTCTATCCTTCTCATCTCTACTTTTACTTTCTCCCCATTTCCATGGATATTTATTCAAGTTTTACTAGAACTGGACATGTTGCCTACCCCACTGATTAGCTATGTAGCAATTCATGGAAGTGTACGGTTACCAGGCAGCTTTTGAAATGTTGAATGGTTTGGATTGTACACTGCCACTGGATTAATTAATTTAAGTCTGTTAATCTTCTTATCCAATTTTATTCATTCATTCATTCATTCATTCATTTTCATTTACCCCAGTGCCGCAAAGGCTCCCACCTACGGTGGGGTAAGGGGGGGTCGGATGTACGCAGTCTTACCCCTGTACTAAAGCACAGAGAGACTGTTTCCGGATGACCCATAGTGAAAATCCCGTCCAAAATTGCATGGACTGACCGCTGCTTCATAACAAAGAAGCGCTGACAGTTTAGTGAGCCACTTTGCTTTATTCCATCATAATCTCAAGCCAAAAAATAATGAATCTTTGGCTCCATTGCAAATGATGGAAATTTATTATCCTCTTTTTATTGTGTGCATGAATTCTTCCTTTTGGATTTCAAGTTGGTGATAGTTAAGTTTGCTTTATTGGTCCTCATGAGCCCATTTAAGTCATAATAGGGTAAATAATGTATGACTATTTTTATCTTCTAATGGTGTTTTATCATTAATAATTTTCTCATACAAATTGTCTGATACTCATTGCATTGGGACATGTGCCCATAAGTGCAGATCTGATGTTCTGGGACAGTTTATGCCACTGGTTGGGGTAGATTGGTCGCAGACTGGTGTTGCACATCTTTTTTCAGCTATTAAGGTCTGTTGATTATTATTTTTTAGTTCTTTCAGATTGCCATGTAGCACACTGCCACACCCCTTTGCTATAAATTTCTTATGTTTGATACATGGTAATACAATGTAAACTAGAAAGAAGGCCACATATGATTCTAACTTTTAGTTTGTACATATGTCTATATCTCTTAGTGTTTATATTAATAAATAAATAAATAAGTAAAATTTGAAGTAATATCTAAAGTTGATTTGTTGAGTCTGAACATAATCCATATTTGTTATGCCACCCCCAACCTTAATTTCATCCAATTTTTATTTTTTTCTCTTGCATTTTCCGGGCTCTGAATGACCCGTTTTAGTATTCTGCATGTCTCACATGGACAACCAATTGAAATCGCTGCATAGCTGTGTAGTCATATCTGATAATATGCTTGGTGCCATTTTTTGGGTGCAGGATAATGGATTCCAATTGCTTTTCCTCAGTGCCCGTTCTATTTCTCAAGCCTATGTAACTAGACAATTCCTCATCAATCTGATGCAGGTCAATTTAATGAAGTTAATTTTGTAGCAGACTTATTAATTATTTAACAAGCATAATAATTTACTGAAATCTAACTTGTCATCCTCCGTTGCAGGACGGGAAGGGATTACCCGATGGCCCTGTTATCATATCCCCTGATGGACTTTTCCCTTCATTATTTCGAGAAGGTCACTGGTTAATGGTTATTGTTTTGCAATATTAGTATTCTGCTATTATTATCATCATCACTATTCGTGCTTTATTATTATTATTATTGTTGTTGTTGTTGTCGTCGTCGCCGCCGTCGTCATCGTCATCATCATCATCATCATGATTCAGCAATTCCATTTCTTCTTTTTCATAATTCTAATTAAGCATTATTTCATATTGTTAGATATTGCTTGATTACTAACATGCTTCACTGTCTTTCCTTCTCCAGTGGTACGAAGAGCCCCACATGAATTTAAAATTGCATGTTTGGAGGTTAGTTGATGATTTTGTTTCTTTCGTTTGATTTATTTCATGATCAATGCTTAACTTTGTAACAACTTTTTTTGGCTAACGAGTAGGATGATTTATTTAAATGATTCTAGTTCTTAAAGAGCATAGTAGTAGTAGTAGTAGTAGTAATAATAATAATAATAATAATAATAATAATAATAATAATAATAATAATAATAATAATAATAATAATACGTAATAGTTTATCTTGGCGTTATTATGTTCCTATGCGGCCCCAGAACTGCACCTTTTGGACTATGCTGTTACGATACCTTCTTTGAGCCTCCAACATTGGGCTTTCTCTATTTCTGTTTCTTTTTTCTAGGCTAGGTTTAAACCCAATACTTATGTACACTTATGCTTTACTTGATAAATTAGGTAAGCGTTCCCCGACACTTACCACACCTGAATAGGTGGTCCTCGGGATTTAAAAAGAAACGTAATAATTTATTCAATTTTGCAGGATATCAAAGCATTGTTTCCTTCTGACATGAACCCATTTTATGCTGGCTTTGGGAACAGACACACTGATGAGTTTAGCTACCTAAAGGTCGGAATCCCAAAGGGGAAGATTTTCATTATAAACCCAAAGGTAATTAGTAAAACACTGCTATCGTTTTTTCTTGAAGCCATTGGATAGTAGAGGTGATAATGTTGGTTTACACGATAATGCAGGGTGAGATTGTTGTGAATAGACATATTACCAACACGAAATCATATACTACTCTTCGTACACTTGTGAATGGCATGTTTCCTGTTGTTTCCTCTTCAGAGCAGGTTTGCATCTCTTATGGTCCATTTGGAACCTAAGAAATACAGTGGGAACTTAACAAGAAAGAAAAAGAGAGAGAAATAGATATGATTTTTTCTTCTTTATTTTAGGATATTTGTTCATATCCATTTCAATTCTTAATTTCTACGGCGACAATAAAAATAATAATCTACGGCGTATTGTACAGAACAAGTACCTTGATATTTGAAAAAGGATTACCAATTTATCATAACTTTCATTTTCTGTGCATTTCCCAAAGTAAATTCAAACATACAAAATTAACTTTTTTCGCATTATACCTAGCATTTCCTCTCATCCAGACCCTCTTTTAGTCTTACTTTCTTGGTGTAGATACTGGTTTTTACACTATTTGAACATACCTCGCTAATTTTCAGGAGGATTACAATTCATGGAATTTCTGGAAGCTTCCTCTTCCTAATATCCATTGAAGCTAAACTGCTAAAGCAAGTGAACTATATTTGCAACACATTCTTGGGGATTGACTATTGAGGATGGCACCCTACTTGGTGAGAGCGGCGTGGCATTTTCATCAAAAGACAGAGACAAATGGAAAAGAGTTTTCGCTAATAACAAATTCACTATCAATGTAACCACACAGGCAGGGATAAAGCTGGCAGAAATTTATAAGTGATGAAGAGCGGGGGTTACCCGGGATTACAAAGGTCGTTTGGTTGGGGGAACGGAAATCGTGTTTTAGAAATTTTCGATTCCCTTTTCAAGTTGCCATGAGCATTTGTATATGTGGTTTTCTGAAAGAGCAGTTATGTTATATAGTTATTAATTATATGGAACTGGCCCTCCAATTCACCCAAAGGGAGAATGGATTGAAGATCAAGAGTCTGGGGTTTGGGTTTATGACTGATTCAGTCCAGCTAGGCAATCTTTCTTCTGTATCATTTTTTGTATTTCTAGACAGGCTGCCATTTTTTCTCCTAGGAAAAGCCATCATCATCTTATTATAATGTTTTCGAACATTTGCAAATAAAATCTAAAGAGGTGGTGATATTTTAGCAATGGATAAGTAACTCATTCGAGCATTTGTGTGCGATTGCTGTTTTTATCTGAGACAGCCTCACACATGTTTTTTTGTCAAAATATAGTGATATTGTAATAGAGTGTGTATTAACTTTGGTGATCCAATATCAATCAAATTTTAAATATTGTAACACACACAAACTCATTAAACTTGTTTGACAATTGGAAAATTAATATGAACTCAAATATAAAAAACTGATGGATGTTCAGAATTAATATTGTATGTGTTTAAAATAAGAGCAGTTGTGTCATTGACTTATTTAATAATTCTGCTAAAAATGTTATTCTTTAAATTTTTATAAGCCCTTTGCAATTGTGATGCTTCAAAGTGTTCATATATCTTAATGACTGTACAGTTTGTGACTTCTGAGGCTCGGATGAGACATTTAAAAAAATCTCAATCCATTCCTTCTCTAAGCAATGACTCATGAAAGTAAGTTGAAAATTTTACTGACATTCTTGGTGTATTGGACTATGACAAAAGAAATAGCAAAGTTATTTTTGTAAAGGTCTACGAAATTTGAAAAAGAGTTCGTTAGTAGATAAGATAATAATAATTACTACGTATAATATTAATATTAATAATAATAATAATAATAATAATACAGGTATACAACCATAATAGTAATAGTAACAACAAAATTATATTTGTGTTTTAAAAATCTTTTTTAGGCTTATCAAACTATTTTACCAAACGGACTGTAGATATGAGAGTGTATATTTATATATTAGGATTATTTGAAAAAAAACGATATCAATATTTCTATTCCAATTTTTTTTGACAACATTTCTATTCCAGTTAATGAACTGATTTATAATAATATGTGAGTGGAGTTATGATATAAAATATTGAATTTTGAACCTCCATGAAATATTGAAATTGAAATACAACAAAGGAAGTGCATCAGTTACAATTTCAAAGGGATCCGGGGTTTCCCATGTGTGAGTTATGGTTAGGTTTTTAGATTAAGGTTCTTACTTTCTCATTTTCAATTAAAGTTCTTGATTTCGATTATTAACTCAAGTTCCAAATTATTAAATTTAAAAAATTCTTAGTTCATTGAGAGTGTGTTCAACACTTTACATGTATTCTAATCAAATTTCCCCCTTTAAATCTTTCAGATGGATGAACTTGCATGTTTTTATCCATGAACATTGACCTTGGCGCTTCTAATTATTGCCCAGATTAATATCAAAAGTCCTTTCATTGGGTTGCAAGAAAAGTATTCAGCGTTCTCTTATGACATCAGTTCGTATACGTGAGATCGCCCCACGGTGAGCACCATGCTCTACTCCCAAAACAACGTAGTTTTGAACAATTTAAAAAAAATCGCGTGAATAATACACGGGTGTACAGTGACTATTTTTTTCTTTCTTTTTGTTCCAGTAGAGTTAATGATGTAACTCGCGTTTAAAAATATGTAACTTACGTTATTGATCGATGTAACTCAAGTTCATTCAAAATGTAACTTGTCAAATTAAATATTGATTTCAATGTAAACAATGAAAAAAGAGAGCCTAATTGCACACTTGTTTTAGGTAAACCATGAATATGTTTTGTTTTTAATATCATGACCATAAAAAATATTTTTTTTTAAAAAATCATTTTTTGTTTCAATAGCACGGGTTCATTTTTTAATGTAAGTCATGTTATTACAAATGTTATTCGCGTTGATAGCAAATATAACTTAGGTGTGTACAGAATGTAACTTGTTGGAAAATTGAACAATGATTTTTTTTTTTGTTTAAACACAAAAAAAAAAATCATTGTTCAATTTTCCAACAAGTTATATATAGCCTAATATTATAAACATTGATTTCAATGTAAACAATATGAAAAATTGATCATAATAGCTTAATTACTTTTTTTAAATAGTGAATATGTTTTAATTTTAATATTAGGGATATAAAAATGATATTGCAGTGGTTTATTCCGTGGTGTAACTCGCATACATTAAGATGTAACTCACGTCTATTAAAATGTAACTCACGTACATTAAGATGTAATTCGCGTACATTAAGATATAACTCGCACAGAAAAAGATGTAACTTCATGATATATTATCAAATGTAACTTGAAGAATCAAAATAAACAAATTCAATGTATTAAAAACCTCTAAAAACATATAAAAGTGCCAAAAAATTATATTATAGAAAAAGTGTGTGCATACAAAAAAATATTACAAAAAAGTGTATGAATATAAAAAGCATATTATAAAAAAAGTATATGGATATAAAAAATATTACATAAACAAAAATAGTGTATGAACATGAGATGCGATATACTTATTTTATTTAGATTAATAAATTTTTTATTATGTATTGATAAAGAATAAAAAAATAGATTCAATTATAATTTAAGATGAAGATAAAGAAAAGTAGGATTGCAATTAAGTTTTTGGTATTTTAGTTTGATGGAAAAAGAAAAGAATTGAACAAAAGAAAAAAAATAAAGAAAAGCAAAGGAAAAGGAAATAACAAAGGTGCAGACAAAGAATGAGGGAAACATGAAAGTCACGTGACTTCCTTAAAAGTGGGATCGACACACCATGCGGAAGGTGTGCTGATCCCACCGTATAATTTGCGCCAGTGAACCCGCCATTTGATACACATGGGAAATTAATAAGAAATTTTATTAAATTTTATTTTATTTATCATCATACATTTTGTCATTTTCATTTAAGATAATAGATTAATAAGCTGGTGTGAGATACTAAAAATCATAAAATAAAATAAAAATGTTACTAGTACATGTTGATTTGCACGCTGATTGACACACTCAAATATAATTGTCCGTGTACAGACAATTGATTTTTAACTTTAGTAAAGGGGAGACATAAACATTTATTTAATAATTCTCAATTTATAGACAATTACACTTGAACGTCTAAACCGACGTGTAACCCAACGCGTACGATTAGCACGGTTGAAATAGCAAATCCACATATAAGAGTGATGGAGTATATGGGTCTGAGCCCCAGGACCCACATACTCGGAAGAACAGAAAGCACAAGACAACAGAGTGGCGCCCTCGTCGGCCAAGATGCCCCCGTCGGCCGAAAAGGAGCCAACTCGGATTATGGTCCTGAGTCCAAGGAACCCGGGTGTCCTCGTCGGCCGTGCCCTCGTCGGCCGTGCCCTCGTCGGCCACGCCCTCGTCGGCCACAAAAACCTCCCAGAATCGGATTTTATACTTACTCATTTGTACAGCCCATTAGTGGCTTTGTATTCGGCCCAGTAGCGGTCCAGTTGTAGATGGGCCTCCCAAGCCCAAGGCTTGGGAGCCCAACCCTAATTTTCTCTATAAATACTCTCCTTGGGAGTAGTTATAGGGGTTACAAATTCATTCTATTGAAGCATATTATTGCACTTCTCTCTCTAGCTCTCACTTCTCTCTAGATATACTCTATCATTTGGTGCTCTCGTTGAGAGCTAGAACAATCAAGTTAGCACCCTTCGTCGCTACCAAGCACAGCTAACCACTGATCATGGGGAGAATTAAGTCAAACCGCAACCTCGTCAGCAAAGTCATCCCTGAGGACCAAGAGCCCAGGGAGCACGATGAGGACGCCACGGCCGACCAGTTCGGCGGAGGGGACCTCTTCCAGGAGGACTTCAACCTCACGACGGACCTCCGCAACCAACTCAACGGCGGAGTCCCCGACGCCCGCCTCGGCCTGGAAAAGAAACGAGCTGAGAAAGCGGACCATGCCCCGGCCCAGCCTATGGCCGCGGCCTCTCCGTCCGTAGATCCTCAGGTCCAGGCCGCACTATCGGCTATCATCGCCAGCTTGGCTCAGAATCCCACCGTCCTCAGCGCACTCTTGCCAAGGACCGGGGGAAACGTCACTCCACCTCCTCATCCCCAACCGTTGGCCGTCCAGATAGGCAACAATGAGGGGGTTGTGGCCCAGGACACGGCGTCGTCCCACTCCCACCCTGCTTCCCCTCTTCGGCCCGGGCAGACCCCAGCGCGTGGAAAAGCCTCTGCCTTCAATAGGCTAGGTGACACGCGTCGTCGTCCGGTTTCGGAAAGGATGGCGGGACGGATTGGTGATCCTCGTCCTGGCTCGCCAAGGGAAAGCTTGGGGTCTGTGTCCCGGACAGCGGACCAGCCCCGCCCGGACAAGGGCAAGGGGAAGTTGCACGAGGATGACGTGCGCCACCAGATCAACGCGGCTCACAACGAGCGCCTGAGGAACCAGCCGGGCGCCGCTGCGACCGACAGGGACCCCCGGGACGAGGTCATCGCCCAGCTGGAAAGGAGGCTGGCTCAGATGGAGGCCAAGCAGTCGGCCAACATCCCTACGGCCGGCGCCTCCAACGACCCCGGCCTCAACGCGCTCATGAACAAAGTTAGCGCCCTGGAGAGGGAGCTGGCCGAGGGGCGAGGTGACCCCATCATCCAGGTTAGGACCAGGACCCCTTTCACCAACAGGGTCCTCTCGGCCCCCATCCCTGCGAAGTACAGGGGGAATGCCATCAAGTCCTACGATGGCCGATCAGACCCCCAGGAGCACTTCAGCCGTTACCAAAACAACATGCTGATGGTGAACGCGTCCGACGAATACCTCTGCCGTTGGTTCCTCTCTACCCTCGAGGGGCCAGCGTACGAGTGGTTCAACGGACTGTCGGAAGGAAGCATCGACTCATGGCAGGACCTCGCCCAGCGCTTCCTCACTCACTTTGCCGGGAGGAAGCGCGCCAAGAAGTATTTCACCCACCTCCTCTCCGTCAAGCAGCAGCACGAGGAGTCCCTCCGGTCATTCATCGATCGGTGGACGAGGGAGACCGAGGAGGTCGAGGGGGCCGAAGAGCGCACCCTCCTCGCCTTGTACCAGGGAGCCCTCCGCAGCTCCCCGTACGCTAGGAGCCTCATCACCGACCCCCCGAGGTCGTACGCCAAGGCGCTCCAGCGCGGAGGCTTATATGCCGACGCCGACGAGCTCCACAATCACAAGAGAGAGGGGGGCCATCCCCCCAAGAAGACAAATCCTTCGC